TCTCATCAGGTACGACGAAAAATCTTCGCCTTCATATTGTGACGTATCACGTAATATAAATTCAAATAAATTTAAGATAAAAATTTCAAGATTAAAACTTTTCCAAGATTTGTATATTGAGATACAAATAATAAATCGTTAACATATAACAAATGAATAATGCACAAATTTTCAAGGATTGCAAACATGATCAATGGCTGCTACAGCTCAATATTATTTGTGACCGTATTATTCGTTACTTTTCAAGTGTGTTTCATATCCTTTCAGATTATTACGGTATGTAGGAATACTAATGTGTGTGTTCCTTCTCGTGTTATAAAGCGATTAAATTAATTAAATATATGAGTAAATAAATAATATAAATATAATTAAATATAAATTTAATTTTATTTAATGAATATAAAATTAATGACACCTTCTCATTAAATAACAGCGTAATATATTGTATTAGATTGATGATATGGAACTATTCAAATTTATTATTTCCAGATGATAACAGATGATTCAAAAGTACCTATTGTTAAAGTGATTGCTTTCTTCTTTTATGTCACCTGTATGTTGACGAATTTTTTTACATACTGCTACGCAGCTGAAAAACTTATAGAAGAGGTAAAACAAATTTGTACATTAATGTAATCTATACAAAAAATCATCAAATAATTTTTAGAGCACCAATATGGCGTACGGTGTGTATGAATGCAAGTGGTATGATTTACCATCAAAAAATGCAAAAGACTTAATGTTTATTGTATATCGATCTACGATTCCCGTTAGAATGACAGCTGGAGAATTTGGGACCTTTTCGTTAGAGATGTTCGGAACAGTAAGATATGTACATATGTACACTCCTCCCCAAAATTAAAGGATCACCTATTCTGATTGCTAAAAATAGGCAAATTTTAAAAGGGTGTAACTTCGTAAAAAATTATCGTAAAGAATAATGCAAAAAGCATTTTACAGCTTGAAGTCTCTACTTTCTAAATGTTAAAATCTTAGAATTTTGCAAGGCTTCTTAACATGAATTAAAAATCGCACACAAATGCAGTTTATGCAACATTTAAAAGCGTGAATCTTTACCTTTAATTTGCGTACTCATTGAGTATTTTGCGATTTTTTTTCACCAAGTTATTTAATGTTGAAGCATAAGGATCATTTTTACTTCAATGTTGAATAACTCGGTGAAAAAAAATTGCACAATGCTGATCGGGTGCTTGAATTAAAGCTAAAGATTCACGCTTTCGAAAGATGTAAACCTCATTTGCGTGCGATTTTTATTTTACTTTTCGGAACTTCGCAAACTTGGTAAAAAATTTTTAGATTTGATGCATCT